GACCAGCCCTGTATAAGTAGGGTCTGCAATTCACGACCTCGCTTCAAATTTCATGGAAGGAAAAGCAATATCTCTTAGCATGCATATGGATAAACCAATCTTTATGTAGTCGGGAACTTGGCACATTCTTCTTTGACTGATCTTCAAAAGAGATTAACGGTTCTATTCAGTACACGAGCACATTTAAAAGCCGCGCATTCCTACGTAATGGGGCTGCTAATTTTTCATAAACTTGATAGCATGTACTTCGCGTTAGATGGAGTGACGTCTAGTTGATGTAAAATACATGTACACTTTGGTTTCGTAAATATAGGAACGTAAATTTTACGTAAACGTGATGTCATTTTCATGGCAATCGCAAGAAATGTACATTGTTGGCATAACATTGATATCTTGTTTACGTGAACATGCTGCTTGGGCAGTAATGAAATACATCGAGGTCTTTGGGTTTAGTCCCGCGTTCAATTATCTTTTAGAACTTGGACCTCTGCTCGTAACGTCAAAGCAGTAATAAATGTGTCATTGTGCCCAAAGCAAAGATTTGAACCTTAGAATCTCTTGTTAACGGGCAAATTTGGAAATATTGAATTGAGAATGAAGCAATGCCTTCATGTTTTCCGTGTGCAGAGGTGCAATCTGGAGGGAACTGCAATGTCACCCTGCCTTGCGTTTCCAATGCGACATGCAACCAAGAGAAGTGCTGGTGCAACACAAATTACCTGCCAGAAAACGACAGATGCACTAAGATTTCATGCAATTCCTATATGGACGAAACCAGGAGTGTTTCAAAGATAAATCATATAAATATGAATCCGCAAGATCTTTCACTTGAAAAATACATAGCTCGTAGATGTGACAATACTTGCCTATAGGACATCTTTAAAATTGCGAGTTATAGGAAACATAATGTATTAGAAAATCCTTGCAAATACAATTTGCGAAACTATTGAATGATAACAAAGCACAACTAACAGTTCAAACAAAACAGCTTCGTGAATATATAATTATTTTTAAGTGACGTAAATATATTGACTGAGTAGGCCTATAGTTCCAGTAAGGGGCATGCCAGCAAAACAGATCAGAATCTATTAGCTTTTACTGCATGCATTACGAAGTGCAGTAAGAATTCATCATTTTTCGAACATCAGCACCGCCAGAGAATATTTGATTAAATTTAAAATTTTCAGGGAAGGCGAACGCAAACCCGGATGAGGATTGTGACTCAGGGTAAACGCATGCGCAGACCCCAATGCCGTATGCACTGCGGAGGTAGACTCTGATATATGCAAGTGCAAGATAGGATATGTGAATGAAGGAGGCAAATGTTTCGATTGACATAGTTTCCAATAAGTTTATAGTAAAATAAAGTGTGCATGCTGCTTTATTGATATGGACCGAAGGCGCGAGCAATTACAGCTATGCAATCTTTTTCGAATATGTCATTTTACTGAACCAATTTCCCTCAGGAGTTCATCTATGAATCACATCATCCTAATACTAGTGCTTAATTTGAGCCGGGAGTTATGTACTGGATCTTTAAAATGGCATTGGAGCTGAGGTTCGGAACCTCGAAATCGAAATATATGCCAGATATCACATTAAAATAAGCATTCAGAGGGACTTGATTCCTGGATCCCCTGCCTAAGAACAGGCGGCTTTTCTCGTTGAGTACTAAATACTTTATTTTGACTTAATTTCTCAGATATTATGCACTTGTTTAGAATAATGTATTGGATCAAGAAGTCACGAGAAGAAGGGAAAAATTTTCTGGCAAATAGCGATCCATCCAGCGCAGGAGAGGACGATAGGGGGATAGGGTATAGGGGGACGATAGCTGATGGGGATTTTGTGCGTTTGTGCGTTTTAATTGAAATCTCGGTAAAGAGGCCAAACTAGATTAAGTCTTAAAATTGACCAATTTGGCTTTGGGATAGTACATCTATGAATTCTCTTGGCGAAGGTAGACTCAACCAGGCTAATTGGGAGAGGAATTTAGGCTAACTATCCATGAGGGACTGAATTTGTCCAAATTGGCAACGCGAAGCCGCATCTAATGAAGGCTTGATCGGAGTTTAATTAAGGAATGCAGCCAAGACAGCTGCTTGGAATGTGACTGGATCAACTGGTAATAAAAAGTGCACCAGCCGCTCCAGATTCATTGTAGTTGGTGGATACTGCAATAAGTCAATATCCTTAAACATAACACTTGACTTCATCACTATGACCCGGAATTCGGGCGGACCCCAGCCCTGTTATGCTATTCCGGAAAATACAAGTTTACTCTGGGTATATTTATTTTATTTTTATTTTTTCTTTATGGCAACGCATACTAAAAAACCAGATCCGATCGGACATACATCATGTCACAGTGATCGAGCTAAGAGCATCTCATGCGAGTTCTAATGACAATATTGAGAAAAACCATCTAGGACCAGCTTTGGATTATCAATGGTTTCTCTCATGGCACGCCGACTTGCCACGTGAACATTCCAAATTTCGCACGTCCATGATGAAAAGAACCGTCCCCATGGTCAACTTCCCCTTACAAGCGTAAGCCCTCTAACGCAGTCATTAAGTAAGACGCCTCCTAGTCGACTTCCACATGCTACGGTTACGATGGTGCCGAAGCACTTTCTTCCAGCATTCTGTCGTGAGTCTATTTCCCTAATTATCCTATTTGAATGCATTTCGCGCAAGTTGCAGTGACCTCGTTGACCCAGTGAATCTCGAATGTCATCGTAAATTGACCCATTCCGAAGGTTTCATTTACCTGGTAGTTTCTTGCAGTTTGTCAGTGTTTGTGAAGATGCTACGCTGCGATGATTGTCCTTGCTTGTGAGAGGAGCAGTCAAACGGCCCTTACCTAACTTAGTAGCTAGTTACACTATGTTACTATTTGGTTACTATGGTTACTCTGGTTACTATGCAGACTTAATCCTCCTTTTAGCTCCATGCCTTATAAAAGTCCTCGAAGATGCGTCGAAACTATAGTTTAAGTTGTGGACAAGATTCGGTAGCGAAAGCCCTCATTTTAGCGAAGGCATGGGAATCATATGACTACGCATTGAGCTAAGTGTTTTCCAAGCTTTATTTTTTAATACATTTTAGGTAGCATCATGAAACCGCGGCATGAATTGTAAATATGTAGACACTAATGAAAATCCGGATAACTCAGCTATAGGGAGACGCTATTACAATTTTAGCAAACTGTCAAGAATCTATGCTATAAAGTGTTCCGGCCCTCCTGTTTTTTTGGGTGTAGAGAGTCCCGATGCATTGACGACGCCCTTGGTGACTTGATTCGCGGATGTACGGAATAACACGTCAGTGCCTTTGCTCTCTCTGTGTAGGTCTTCCTGTTGGAGGGAATTGCTCGGCTGAAGCGGGCGCGAGAGAGTGCGTGAATTACTCGGTCTGCGTAGGAACTATATACGATCAACATTGCGAATGCCGAGCAGGGTTCGTGGAAGATGGATATTTCTGCAGTGAGTCTTCAACCCTCACAATCTAACTTGAACATATAACAATCAAGTCGGAATGATTACATTAACCCCTTAAGATAATTCGTCGTGAGATATGTTTTTGTATGGAAAAAGTTGCGATCATGGATGCATATTAGCGCGTTAAAAGGAAGAAGTTGAAATAAATATGTAGCCGAACTTCAACGAGAAAAAATCACTCTTTCCTCCAAACTTGACTCAAGGACGTGACATGCTCCGAATTTCGAGCTAAAAGAAGGCGGTACCGTTGCTTATTGCCAATATGTAATTATCGAGTGTTTGTGAGGATCAGAAAGCACGGGCAGGTTCTCCTAGCGCGCTCAGGAATCTCTCCCCCCCCCCGCCCTCTCCCCGCTCTGGCATTCCCCCAGTTCCGGCCACCGTATCTGGCACTATTAGCTTCGCTTCCCACATCCCTCTCCCTTTTCGAACTAATTTTTGCAAGCGCACCCTAATAATGTCACCCAGTTCTGAGTTAGTGATGAACCTGATGCATTCACTGAACACTCAACAGTACATTGAATGCTCAACTTGAAGCATCACTGAACCCTGATTGGAGGATGGCGTCATTCGACGGAAATGTCAAATTTGTTTCTCTCTTGGTCTATTGACTTACTTTTCAAAAGTTGAAAAGTAAAGAATAACTGGCATGAACTACGATATGTACGTAATAAAACAAGTAACTATTAAGGTCACCATTCACATTGTTTTCATATCAGATATTGAGGGGAGGGAGGGAGATGCGTGCAAACAAGCGAGTGCCTGAGTAACGTCGACTGCATAAAGAATCAATGCAATTGCAAAGTGGTATTTGTGGTGGAAAGAGGACTCTGCAGTGAGTAATCATCACGTTCCAAGTTACCGTTCCAATCAATAATATTTCGTAAGACATTGCCGTGACATCACAGAGTTATTGGAACTAAAATAGGGATTCTTGGGGCTCCAAGGTTATTTCTACTGAGAGAGTTCATTGGAGCTCTCAGGATTTTGTTTGGAAAGGGATTCTTTGTATTAAGATTATTGGACTGGTCGAAAAAATACGTGGCCATAGCGTATTTCGCACCACAATCTGAATCATTCCCACAAGTTCTCAATACCTGTATAGTTTTTCCTCCCCCTCTTTCAGGAACCATGAATGCGACCGAAAAGCCTCAGGGATTCCTGGACCTCAAGACCCTCGTCCATTCTTTTAGGGAGCATGTCACTTTACAGAGTTAGTCACGGAAAATGCTATAAACCATAATCATCGTTATAACTATACCACTTCTATATGTCGTTACTCCGAAGTAGTCTTGCTCGACACTTTCTGCAATGTCTTCATCATGCAGTGACACCGGGGCACTCAATAACCATTTATTTATTTATTTAGTTGTATGTCATTTCCTTTTTCATCGCAGCATTCTAAAATGAATAAGTCTCACCGCGAAGGAGCACGAATCGTTACACATTGGTCTCACACCTTCGGGTAAAAGAGCTCTCGTAGACAAGTCGGACCAGCTTATGTGGAGATTTTTAGATCTTTCAAGTGTAAGCTCTTGTCTATGTTGAGATTCTAACATTGTCTTTGTCGTAACTACTTAGTTTAGAAATCTGCACAGCTGGGAGATGCAGATCCACTGCAGTTGCTAGACGACCTAACAGAGGTGGTCTTGGAGAAAGTGGAACTGACGGGGGACGAGATCGAGCGCATGGTGAAATTCATCCGCCCCCTCTTCTCCGAGTTCTTCCTCAGCCTTGGCAACTACTCCTCACCACTTGACAGAAGCAAGAAGTTCCTTGTGAATTACAGTCAGTGTATGGAAGAGGTGCTCGTCTCCTTCGATGGATGGCTCGATTTGACTCAGGTAATTATTTTCAATTAAGCAGACCTCTCTGTTATCTCGTCGCTTGTGCAATAATATAAGTTGGTGCAGAGGTCCTGTGACCTTTACGATATTCCATTGATTGTATCGCATAGAAGTCTCGAACGAAAATCTTTGGAAATCTAACGTCAATCCTTGCCGACTGCGGACTGCCGTTGTTGGATAAACTCTTCCTCAACCAAACCGAATTGGAGTTTCGGAGGTCCACGTCCGTCCTTACGGTTGAGCTTCGGAGCGGGAAGAGAGGGACCTTGCTCGACGATGTCGTTTTTCCCTCGGCAGAAAGCGACACGTACTTGACGCTGCCGGCAAGTTTTCAGGAGGATGTCGGTGGCGACCATTACTCCTACGTCGGCGCGCTGTATCAAGTTCGAGATATGGATGCATTGCTTCCGGGAAATCAAAACTCGTCAGTTTAAACTTTGTGATTCATTGGAAGACGGATCGAAAAGACATATTGTTCGCTAACGATAAACCATCGAGAAGGATCCTGTTCAACAGGAATTTAAAAAAAAGTATAATTTAGCCGTAGTTACTTTCAGATCTGGAGAAATAAAAACAAAGTCTGCTCATTTCAGGTTTGGAGGAAACAATGCGGTGAATTCAAGACTGCTTAGCTTCTCTGCGAAGGTCAAGACGACCGTCAACCTAACCGTTCCGGCTACCCTGACCTTTCGAAACACCAGGTCACCACGCTCTCCGCCTTACGAAGAAATCTGGCGGCACATTCACGACGGAGAGGAGCCCACCTTCATCCCTCAAACCTATCGGTGCACCTTCTGGAACGTCAACGCATTGTGAGGACGGTCCCGGAACGTCGTCTTCAGATTTTGCTTCGCAGGAACTCTGTAACTTCTCTTTTGCAGAGCTTGGGACACGGAGGGTCTTCGCGAGGTTTCGTCGGATCACGACATCACAGTCTGTCAGTCGCACCACCTAACCGATTTCGCAGTTCTCATGAGCATCCACGGCTACGTGGTGAGTTCATACTTGAAAGTTTTGATTCCGCCTGTAGCCTCTATTAATGCGGAGTGATTCAATCATTGCGTTGTGATTCACTAATTCGGTGCGGATGCAAAAATGAATCTCAAAGTGCAGATTGCGTTTGAATACCAAGCATGATGTTTTCAAGTGACAAAAAAGTAGAAAAATTGTCCAGGGTCGCGGTTGGGTGCTGGAGCTATTGACGATGACGTTGCTAATCTGCTCCGTGATATGCCTTGCAGTGGCAATCTTCATCTTTCAGCAGAGCAAAAACAAGTAGGTAACAGTTTCTGCATCACAAATTGTTTTTCTAAAGACGTAACCGCTCACTTTTGTATTTTCTCAGGATGAACAGAGCAAACATATTGTTGAACTTACATCAGCAGCTTTGTTTCTGGTTGCTGATCGGTTATATTCTGGTATTTCTCGTCATCGACCGCCGCTTCTTCCCGTTGTCGACGGTAAAGACGCACACGTTCTTTCGCGCAGTTTTAGTACCTAACGAAGCTCTTGTCTCCGTCGACAGAGAGAATGCGAAGTGGCAGCTGTCTTCCTTTACTTTGCCTTCCTCTGTGCCTTCACGTGGATGGCTCTGGAAGGATGGCGCTTGCGAAACCCTACCGCGAGGAAGCAGGAGGGGAGGAATGAGTTTAGATACTACCTCGCGGTAGGGTACGCGGTGCCGGTGGGGATTGTAGTCATCACGGCTGGTGTGGCCTTCGGCACTGGGGCACGTGGATACGGCGAGGGAGAATTGTGAGTTTCACTTCGACTCCATTATTTCTCGGCGCATTGGTTGAGTTAATTGATAAAAAGCGCATGGATTCATGAGTGGATTCGTAGGACAATTTTAGGCGAGATAGTGGAGAGGTTCTGCAATATTGTGGACATGTGTATAACGGGTAATTGTAGTGAACAAAGCGTTCGGTAGTGTGCTGAAGTTGAAAATATAACAATTTAAATTTTTAGGATTTAATGAAGTGGTTCTTCATTTGTTTCATGCCATTGCGAAAATGCTTTCCATGAGGAAGTTTTCAAGGATAAAATTAATTTTTTAGGGTGTGAGAAGTGTTCAGAATCCTAACTGCAAGATGATGTGTGTTTCCTGGATTCAAAAATCTATCATTTCATATTGTCTCCCTTTGATACATCGTGCTAAATACTGTACATACTGTAGTACATGTAGTAAATGCATATGAACTATTTGGCGTTCAAGGCACTGGGTGTGATGGAGAACAATAGGAAGTACACCGAAGTACCTTCATTCCAGATAATGAACACTCAATTGTTATGATCTACATAATAGAATTCCAAGATATATCTTCTTTCCACACATTTTGATTTTGAACAGCTGGAATACGAGAGCATACCTTGGTTTCACGTTTTAGTTGCTGGCTATCCTCACCGGGTTACATCTGGGCATTTGCGGTTCCAGTCCTCCTGGTCGTCGTTGCCAACTCAATAATTCTGTTTCGGGTGGTGGACGCTGTGAAACGGCAAAAGAGGAATCTAAGTGTGATGCGGAGGCATCAGTCAGGAGTGACAAAACTGTAAGTATACTGAATATGTCCTGCCATCGCAAGCTTCAGGTGAGCAGCTAGGCATATTGTGATGCAGGGGCAGCACGATGCGGGTATTCTCCCTCACGATTCTCCTCGGATGCGGCTGGCTGCTGGGGGTCCTGCAGATGGAGGTCTCGCCGATCTTCGCTTACTTCTTCGTCATCGTTGGCTGTTCGCAAGTGAGGGAAGGTTCTTGGGCAATTCAAATTTTTGCAGTTGAGTGGGAGATGAAAAGTAGCATTTTCCCTTGCAAAAATGTTTTTGCAAACCGTTTGGAAGCGCTCGGTGGCGAATTAAATATTGAATTCAAACCCTCCCTTCCAAGCTTGAAGAGAGTACGCAGAGCTTGCAAAGTACACAAGGAAACTCATGTATTCGGACCTGAAAAACTATCCTGTTAAGAGATAGATGCTATTGCGATTCGTCTCGCTTAGTGCATAAGGTGATATAATTATTTATGCTAGGCAAGAAACTGTCGAGTTCTAAAAGGAGTGAGACCAGCCTTTATCAGGTGAACTGAGAGATGAAGCCCGTCTTGCCAGCGCTGTCAATAAGTTATAAAATGTGTCTTCAGCTCTGGATAGTGCGAAGTGTACTGGGTATGTGCAATAAACATGGAAACAGTATACTACTTTAAAGATAATCGAGGGCATGGCTGACGTTATGCGCCTCATGTTTTGCAGACATTTTGCTGATTATATCCCTTAATGAAATGTATATCCGCCTACGAATGACGTGTGAATATTGTTTGTCACGTTTGTCAGATTCATCCCTCAGAGTTATTGAAAGTGTGTGATGAGAATTTTTAGTGACGCGCGCTATATAAATCATTTTCCCCAGGGTATCGGGATCTTCATATTCTACTGCTACAGAGACCCAAACATGAGAGAAATGCTGATAAGCTACGCGCACACCATGCTATGCCACAAGCCCACAAATATGACTAGTGGCGTTCCAAGCAGGAAGGCAGGGAAGAGCGAGATGAAGGAAGGAATCGGGACGTCAGTAGGGTCCACATTGAGCCCTCAAACAGTCACGTCTTCTGATTAATATTTCTGATGCAATTCACCCGTTTGTCGATAGAACTTTTTTTTCAAAAACAAATTTGCTCAGTAAACGGATTCTTCGCTGTCATTTTAAATTGTTGTCTATTAAATATTAAGAAATGGTCAAGTGAGAATGTCATTCTTGTATACTGACGCAATAAATTAGTTTGACATTCCATGACCAACCACTTCCTCTGGACCCATTGCCAACAACGTTGCATTCCACGAAAAAAATCCTTCTGCAACGTGTAGGCAGAAGTTCATCTTAACAACTTCCTTCACGTTGTCTCTAGTAAGGCACAATGCATTTATCTGCTTCGTGAGGATCAGCATCTACAGCTACTCTGTAAATCCTACCACTTAAGAACCGCTCACGGTATGACGGCTCCACGGCATGTAACAAATGCATACCATACCTACTTTTAAGTTGGATACCCTGAATATAGTGAGGCTTTTTTAGAATTTGCGCATGTCATACAAGAGTAGATTAATTTGCAGCTAAATAATCATGATGGTAATTGGAAGCGTTATTAATTGGAATTTCCGGCAGTGAATTTGAAAAAAATTTCTGAATTCGCTTAGAAAGAAGAAACTCTACAAAAAGTTGCTGGATCTATTCGAATCAGGGTAGCTTTCAGAAGTAAAAAGTCATCCAACCAGCATACTGACTGCTCAAAATGAACAAGTGAAAATATTTTCTAACTTTCACCCATCATCTTTAAAATTTTAAATTCAAGGGATTATGTAATTAAGCCAGATATTTATTTAAACTTTTGACAACAAAATTTGAGTTCGATCTCAAATAAGTAGAATGCATTGAGTACCTTTGTTTTTTCACCATAAAAGCGATAGGAACGAAGTACACGTCATATCGAAATTAGGTGTGGAAATCATATCGAAATTAGGTTTCCACACCTCATATTTGAGGTGTGGAAACGCTACCTTTTCACATGGTATGCTATACGATATCTTGCGGAAGTACAGATAGTGCAGTATAGGTTCTTATTTCTTACATAATACTCCAGGCAGACAAGTACATTGGGGCATTGCATTGGCGGCATTGTAATCTCTCTATCAAACCTCCATCCTGCATGACATTCTATGGACATGAGTCATTCAGGAATCGATTGCCCACTTCCGTCTGCTTGTCGCAACATAGCGTTCTAGGAAATTGACGATTGGACACCCTGAGAACCGTGCATTCGTATGTTCCTCATAAGAAGGAGGAGCAGACCTTGCACGAGGAGCTTGATCCGAGGGTCGACGAGACGTTGGCCACCGTGTAGATGTACGAACGGA